ATGTACAAACGGATAAGAGATATGTGTAAAATTGTCTGTATAGAGGTTTTAACAGAACCTAAAATAATGAAAATAACAATTTTTATGATGACTTTTAGCTTGAAATCATTTAACCATCAATGGAAACTTCCTTCGTATTTCTGCTTGGGTCAATGCCATAGTTCAACAAAAATAAAATGCTGAAACGTACGTTACTTAACATAAAATGCGAGTTTAACAGTATCAAAATTATAAGAGAGAAACAAAAAACCCCGATGTAGATTCAGAATAGAAACTCAAGCCTTTGTTTAATCAATATCATCTGATTCAAACTAAAAATGTCTTTCAAAATAATTTTAATTAATGTTTTTCTACAGAATTAATGTGTGTGTTCAATAATGCGTCTCTAGAATCAGTTTATAATAAAATTTATGCAACTTAAGCTTAAAATGATACAAATCAATCAATAAAGTTTACATTCGAACAATTTGTCATGAAAGAAAATCTGTAAATATTGTTGCAATTTTCATATATGATTTGTTAAAAAGACTAATATCTAGGACATTCAGGTGTAGATTGAAACTGGTTGCGTAGTTGTTGTCGGTCGTTATATAAATATTAACAGTTACATACTAATTCATTCCATTTGATTCATTGTTATTGCATTCTAGAAAACAAACTCACCAACACTGTCTAGACTTAAGAAAAAAAGTCATAAAAAGGCAGTACCGTACTCCGGGTGTCAAAATTTGAATACGGCGCAAAATATTTGACCACGTATATGTGCAGAATTAAGATGTTTGAACTCATAAATCATTCTTTTTTAAGAGGTTTGGTAACGAATGTTTCGGTAACGGTTATTTCATTTAATCATTTTCTCTTAAATAGTACGCTAACAATAAGACATTGTTCATTTTCATTTTCATTGGTTAGAGCATGGAATACTGTTGTTGGATAGAAGAAAAAGTATCACATGTTTAACTATGATATCATTCTATGTCATCTGTTAAACTAATACAACGAATGTTTCATGCCTATCCATACGCATGTAAAATACGAAGATAGAATGTAATTTCAAAAAATTGGTAACATATACAAGGCTTTGTACCATTTATTTTTAATTTTCAAGAAGTTTCCTTCAAAATAAAACGTATTCCAATCTTACAGGCATACAAAACCGAATACTCATACTATATTTAATGTCACAGTCCGTTTTTATTTTGTTTCTGGCGACATGGGGATATCAAATCAAAGTTTGGTAATATATTTGTGATTATGCTCAATAATTTATTAAAAGCATTTTACAAATAAATGTTTTGAAGACATATGCTATCTAATTTAAGACTGAACTGTTATTTGTACAAAAAGTAGCCATTTAAGTGGAATTATTCGATGTTGGCGACAGTAACGTGTTTCAAAAAATCACTATATGCCAAATAAAATATCTCAATATGATTTGTTCACTCCATTTTTGTATTTTTGCCTTAAAGGTTACATATTCATGCATTCATTCAAAAAGTACTTTCTTTGACATTTCATTATTTTTTTACGCTTAACCCCCAGCGACATCATTTGCACCATTTTATTGAGCTTGAGTGATTTATTCTCTGATGTACACAAGCCGTTATCTTTTACAATTTCCAGTCTTGATACACGGTCTGAAAATATATGCGTAAGTGAGAATCAGTCAAGTGTAAAATTGTGGTGTCCAGACAAAGCAGATCAGTATTGTAGTAAAATCGCATTGTCAAGCGTAGAGGCTATTGAAGATTTTTTGAAGGAATTATCTGCCCGTATTGACACAATTAGCGGAGCTGACATTTCTAAAGTAGCAAATGATATAAGTAAGGTTTTTACAAATGTAGCTAAAGAAACATTTGGATTGCAAAAGAAAAAAAACACTAAACAATAAGACCAAAAAAAAAAAAAAAAAAAAATCGTTTAATAAAGACTGTAGAACGGCTAGGAAAAAATTTCATTTAGCAAAAAGAATGCACAATAGACACAACTCAGCAGAAAATAAACTGAATCTTACTGTAACGAGTACAGAATATAAAAAGACGATGGATAAATGTATACAAAAATATAGAAATGATCTATCAGATAAACTAAAAAAATTACGATCAACAAACTCGAAAGATTATTGGAAAATTTTAAATGCTTCTGATAAAGAAAAAAAATGTGCTGTTAATATTAATGATATGTACACATTTCTGAAAGACGTCAATGAAAGTGAACGTGAACAGCAAACTTCCTTTTATGATAATTCAACACCTGTCGCATATGAGATTCATGATATAGCCGATGAGATTTTAAACCCTGCAATCCGTGAAGATGAAATAAGATCTAGACAAGCTGTCAAAAAAATAAAAAGTGGATTTGATAGTATTCTGAATGAACATATTTCATCAACATTATCTATATTTATGCCAGTCTATTTAAAATTGTTTAACATGATATATGAAAGTGGACTCGTTCCAGAAGAATGGTTGATTGGTATTATTAAGCCGATATATAAAAACAAAGGCGATCCCACAAAGCCTGATAATTATCGTCCTATAACATTACTTAGCTGCCTAGGAAAAGTCTTCACATGTATTCTAAATAGCAGATTGGAAAATTATGCAAATGAAGTTGATTTATTGAAAGAAAATCAAGCGGGATTCAGGAAAAACTATACTACACTAGATTCTAATTTAACATTACAGTTTCTATCTGCTCTTCTTTTTTCCCTAAGCGGGGAACACAAATTCTCTGAATTAGCTTGTTTTTATGTTTCTCCCTCTTCCCCACATGGAAAAACGTTGCTACAGGACTTTATTAAGCTATATTTGGATTGCTGTCTATCAAATTATTTTGCGAACCTTGATGCACAAAACTAATGCCAGTAAACATGGCAAAGACTATCTCTTAAACCCTAGTAGTTGAATTAAGTTTTTAATTAAACATGTTCAAGCTGTTAAGCTATCTATATATTAAGCTCTTCCTACTTATTTAAAATGCTTGTACCATAGACTTTAGTTTGAATATACGGATATATGTATAAAAGAGGAATCCGGACGTTGGTTACGCCAAAGAATACATTTATAAGATGTACAGATTTTAGAGCGAGGTTTGACAATGATTGGCACATTCTAATTCAAAAAGGTCGAATTGTTCTAAGGGCAAGTTGTCTTAGAGGCGAACTCTCTAGCATTCTCGCGCATGCGTAGCCTGACGTAAGCCCATGGCATCCGGTTTAACCCCGTTTATATATTATCTGCGTGGACCTCAGGGTCCACGCAATAAACATTGCTCGATATCTTCTTGTTAATTATTCTTTAAAAACTTAAATTTTCAAATGCGCCTTTTATTTTTGTCGATGACGCAATTTGTGCCTATGTTGGGAGATGTCGTAAACAATCCCAACTTTTGACTGCACCGTATGCCAAGGGTTTGTGAGGAGAGTAGCGGATCAAAAACCCTTGGCTAGCGGAGATGAGAAATCACTCGATTTCATTTAAGTTAAAACTACATGTACTTACAAGAAATCTATTTTTAAAAGTGGCATATGTTTATTTAAAATAAAATTTTAGATTAAATAAATATTTGGCAATTTTCTTAAAATTACAGTCCGTTATTTCGTGCCTGTTTCGATAGAAAAAAAACTTTTTCTGACAAGTTTTTTTTTTCTTCTTCTAGGGCAAAGCTATGGTGAATGAAATATAGAGACAACGAACAGTAATCAAGCTCAAAACTCCATTGTAACAATACAAATTGGGACAGAGCTAACACGGACCTCTAAAAAACACAAGAGGTGGGTTCAGGTGCCATGGAGGAGTAAGTATCCCCCAGTAGACGGTCACACCTGCCATGTGAATAATGTCATGATCGGGCAAACGGAAAAATACGTAGACAATTCAGTGTTTAAATAATGACCTAAAAAGATGATTACAAATTTAAAAACATGAGAGCTCATCAGGAAAATGCAAATAACGTCAAATTGAATGTAGTACAGCGACATGAACAACTACATAAATAACTATAGGGTCAAAACAATGCTTGATCCTTTACAGAAATTAAGTTGGATACGAAAAGAGTGTAAAAAAGTTTTATATATTTAACACAAGAGCGTAGTCATCTAGTGAATTCTGTCATACGTACGTTGGTACGTGCGATCATTTTAGGTTTTTTTATTTCAAACATGAAATTAATGAATGGAAATGTTCTAATGTGTACGTTATATTTTAACATATACTGTTTATCATCTATAGCTTGAATTAGAATTATTTTGTTTCAGTAAAAGAAAAAAAATCTAAAAAGTACGGACCATGTTAAGTGAACCAGATGAATTACCATTATTAAATTGACAGCTCGTCAGAATCTCAATAGCTCTAGTATCAGTGTGGTTACTTAGACAAAGTCCACCATTCACCTTATTCCTACCTTACAAGATCACATGGCGACGATATAAAATGAGGTGCTTATTATGTTTATATGATTATTAACGATGAAGCATCACCTAAGAATGAACCCACCAGAGTCAGTGACTGGAGTACGTCCCCATTTTACGAAATCCTAGAGATTATATATTGAGTACACGTGCTCAGGTCAATCACTTCTTTGGTACATGTATACTACATGTACACTTGTTCATTCAAGCTTCTCTTTTTTTATATATGAATTATACTAGTGCTTATAAATCGACTCTGACTTTCATATTCACTTGCCCAGACTAAATTCTGGAATAGATATACTTTTTCCCTTGTAATAAAATAAATGGATATCTCACCTTCTCAGATTATACTCTTGGCCATAACTTACTATTTGACCTTCAGACATGATATTGGAAAACAATATGTGATCAACTAAGGATAGAAATCGACGGTTTATCGATTAAAGATTTGAATCGTGATTTCTACAAGTCTTGTCCCGATGATCTTGACATTTGCATCTTCCCAAGTCAATGGTTTCTGATACACTCCGCTCCACATTAAAGTTTATGTGGAGCGGAGTGGATCAGATACTCTTGACTTGGGAAGATGGACATTAGAGACATAGTAGTGACTTTGAGATTGAGATGTGACAATGCCCATGAGGTTGAGATGTGACAGTGACCTAGAGATTTAAAATGAAATATGAAGATAACGAACGGTATTCAATATCGAAAGCCCAATGAACCGATACAAATTTGGAGAACAGCAAACACGGACCTCAAAATTTAGAGCTGGGATCAGGTGTCATGGAGGAGTGAGCATCCCCTGCCGACCGATAACAGCCATCGTGTGCTCCTTGTAAAGATATGTCAGTGACCTTGATTTTTGAGATATGACAGTGACCCTGAGATATGAGATGTGACATTGAAATGTGAGATATGACCTTTAATTCCTTTAGTTTAATTGCAAATATAACCATATTGCCAATGGTTTTGTCAAGAATAACCTTACTGTAGCCTGTCCCACGACCGGAATGTCACCACTTTTCACAAAATATATCAAAATATATAAATACCTTGGCCTTCAACCTAGGCTTGATCGGTAGATTTATTATTTTTTCAAACTTTCTGCATTTATACGAACCCTCGAGGTCAACCAGTGTATTGACGCGGCGGTAAATTCAAAGTCTACGGGGATTTAAAATTGCCAAAATGGCCGCCACTTTGGAAGGGGATCCATTATCATTAAGTGATTTATGCAAAGATTTTCCAAAAGTTATGAATTTTCTTTATTTAGTTATAAGAGCCCCAGTGTAACACGAGAACCTCTGACCTAGGGGCCATGAAATTCAAAATTTTAGATGAGGCACGCTTACTCATCACAACTACACTGTAAAAAATGCGCTTAGAGTTTAAACGTATGGTGAACATGTTGCAGGCTTAACGTGTTTAGTTATGCGTTGAAACCTTAAACACCATTTTTAAAACATGTTTAAAAACCAAACGTGTTTAGATTTTCGTCACTTCCATCATAATGTAACCTAAGCATTACTTTCTAAACGCGTTTACAAACTAAACACGTTTAGATATTCGTCACTTCCGTTATAGTGTTTTTCCATAGCGCGCTCTTTCATTCCCGCCAGATGAACACAAAGAACCAAACAGCCAGTGGTAATACAAAGACTGTGGTGAATGGAGGTAAAGGAAACTAAGTCATGTATATCACAGATATTTTTTTATCGTTTTTGTTGTTGCTTTATTGCCTGTTAAAACTCAAGAAATGTTTAAATTTGAATTTTAAGGCTGATTTGTTTGATGTTTAAGCATGTTTTCGATCTGTGTATCTGTTTTATGAGTGCGTTCCAGTCCCCAAATATGTGGCTATGTCAGATTTTTATTTTTAAAATTTGAATGCATTTGGATCGCCTATTCATAAACTGTATTATTGACGGAGTATTCACTTTTAAATTGATTCGGTATTTTAATTGTAATCGTGCTCGAGTTCCAATATCAGTCGGGTTCGGTATTGTTAGAATTTAAATTATGTCAACATCATGTCTTCGCAGATTCATGAGATTGGAATTGGGGGACGATTTTGGCAAAGATTTCGCCTCAATCACTTTGTTAATAATAGAAATATAATATTGATAACTGTATAACCCCCCTTGAAGGAGGCTTGCACGATCAAATAGGACAGCTATCGCTTGTATGATGATTCCGAGGTTTACAAACATACTTAAACAGGTCTGGTACAATCACTATATTTACTGATTTAGCTACATGGTTTAAATACGTATATTGCTATATTTACCTCCCTGAAGTAGCTTCATTTAGCTACTAATTCAAAATTATTTGTTGAATTGGCATATTTCTCAGGATGTACAGAAAATTACACATTGATCATGTTGATCATTGATAATATTTTTAACGTTGAACTCATCTGTAAACAAATCATGAAAAATCACTCTTGAAGATGTGTCTTTTTCTGTGCAATTGCAATCAAAGTTTTAAAAGTTTTTTGACTAAATACAATGGTTAATTTGTGACCAAACAGTTATTTCTTGAATGAAATGACATATGAAATAAAAAAGAAGACCAGTTCTGCTTAACATGATAATTGATTGGCAATTGTTCAGCACATTGTGATGCAATCATACTTATATCCATGACTCAGTGTGGTGGACAATTGCTCAAGCAATAGAAATAACTATTTTGCTAAAAAGTGTTGAGATGCAGCAATGTTTAAACTATATATCTCTACTTTGGATTGTTTTTTTTTTTTCATTCTGAGTTTAAATACTAGTAATTGTATACAGTACCTGAATTTTTTGTCTTTTTTAAATAAAAAGCAAAATTGTAAAAAAAAAAAAAAAAAATGCATTGAAGTAGCTAAATAAAGCTATGGTAGGTAATTCTAGCTATGTAGTGAAATATACTGATTTTACTAACTGGTCGTGGAGCTATTAAAATATTTTTTCCTCATTATTTTTTTAACAGTTTGATGGGAAGACCCAAGGACTTGTGCAAAAAGTTCAGGATTTTCATTCAGAAATTCATGATTTTATTAAAAATCACAAAGTTACTAAGCCTCTTCCAAGAGCACAGAGAAATAATGTCATTCCACAATTAGATCAAGAAAATACAAATATAGTTGACTATTCAGATGAGGAGAGAGATAATCTTGCAGTAAATTTAGTCCAGACATTTAAAGAACTCAGAAATTTGGATCAAGAGGATGTGTCTTCTTTGCTTCATGACACAGTAAATTTTGTGACCTCATTAAAAGAAAATAATATTTGTACAAGTATGTTTACCATTCATGTTTATTATAATAATGAATTTTCAGTTTAATTATTCTAAAAGCAAATCAAACTGGTGCCCCTTTGATTTATATTTTAATTTCAGTAAGGTATTCTTTCACATTTTTAAAATTCTGTATTATTAATATTTAATTATTTATTCTATCATTAATCTCATCTTTGAGTCATTTTTTTTCATGTTGTACTTTATCACTAAATTCATATATATATATATATAATATGAATATTTCCCAAAGACACTGTCTTTTTTAGGCATGGCTTTGACAGACAAATCCTCAATTGATGAAGTTTATCAATGGCTAATTCAAGCAGGTGTAAGCAGAGAAACAAGTCAGATATTGAAAGGTATGTAAACAATCATTTTTTTTTAAATTGCATGTAATCGTTAATTTATCTGCATATGAAATTTCCTGTCAATTAGAAGTAGTTCTAATTTAACAAAGTTACTAAAATCTTTGTAGGTTAGCATTTTGCATGTGCATGCAGACTGGATACACATAACAGGGGAAAATGAGTGCCACATACATGTACAACTGCAGCATGTGTCCATATTTTGGAAAAACAAAAGAAGAAATTCTGCAACACCTAGTCCGACGTCATAAGAATGAGCCAAAATTTAAAGTTCACTGTAGTAAACCAGGATGTGGTTCTTCATTTAACAAAATTAGAAGTTTCTCTCAACACTTATACAGAAAACATTCTTCTGATGTACTCAGTGAAATTGAAAGTGATGAAGAAGCAACAACTGAAGAGATGTCTTTTACATGTGAAGATATAAGTAATGAAGAATTAACCCCTGAACAAGACAGAAAAAGATCAGAAGCTCAATTTCTTTTGAAAATGATTGCAGATCATAATTTATCTCAAAGAGCTATTGAAGATATAATAACTTCGACAAAACTTATGTTGAATGAGCAAAGCAATATGATAAAATTAGAGTTGTCAAAGAATATTCCTGAAAATATTTTCCTTCAATTGGATTTTAATCAAATATTCAGAGATGCATCCTTTTGTGGTTTGGAGACCCAACACTTAAGAGAAAGGTATTTTCGAGATAAATTAGGATATATTAAGCCTGTACCAGTCAAACTTGGTAGTGAATTTATCCAAAAAAGGTTGAAACAAAAATACCGTTTTGTAGAAAAAGAGCATTATGGCTATTATATTCCATTGTTTCAACAACTTGCTGAATTACTAAAAATGCCAGAGATCAAAGACGAACTAAATAAAGAAACAGAAAACACTTTTGAAATAAATGACTTTTATGATGGATCATATTATCAAAAACAATATTTCCAAGATCACAGAAATGCTTTGCTCTTTTGCATATATTATGATGATTTTGAGATAGTGAACCCCATAGGCTCTCATAAGAAAAAACATAAACTTTCAATATTTTATTGGACCTTATTAAATATCACACCTGAATTTCGCTATAAATCAGCAGCTACTCAGTTGTTAGCAATAGCTAAAGCCACTCACCTGAAAAAATATGGAATGAAGGCCTTGTTTGAAGACTTTATTCATTCAATGCAGGAACTCCACAGAGGAAAAGTCCTTACTATTAATGGTGAAATTCAAACTGTATATGGAACATTATACTGTGTTATTGGAGATACACCTGCTGCCCAGTACTTGGGAGGATTTAAAGAAGGTGTAGGAAATGCAGAAAAGCCTTGCAGAGTGTGTGAAGTATCACTTGAAAATATAGACTACAGTTTTTCAGACAGGGTCTCAAAATTACGAAATGAAGAAGAACATAGAGACCGTTGTGGAATACTTGAAGAATTAAAAGGAAAAACTCTGCAGTACTGGTCAAAGAAGTATGGAGTAAGCAGACGAAGTGAGTTGCTAGATATTCCAGAATTTGAGGTTACAAAGTGCATTTTACAAGACCCAATGCATGTGCTTCTAGAAGGCATTGTAAAACTTGAATTGCAACTTTTACTTACTTCATTTATAGAGAAGAAGAAATATTTTACCTTAGGAGATTTAAATAGGAAGATAAAAAACTTTTCTTATACTGTGGAAGAGGGAGCTGATAAACCGCAAGTACTTGAAAAGAAAGCACTTGATATAAAAAAAAATTTTCCTATGTCTGCTGTGGAAACCAAAAACTTTATGACTCTTCTTCCATTTATGATAGGAAATGAAATTGAAGATGATGATGAAAATTGGAAAAATTTTATTCGACTTTTGAAGATAACTTTATTAGTGATATCTCCAGTTGCATCAAGTAACACTATCATGTCTCTTAGGCAACTGATATATTCTCACAACTATAGCTTCAGAAAACTCTACCCTGAAGTCCTGTTTACACCAAAACTTCATTATTTGATACATTTTCCAGATCAGATATTGAAATTTGGTCCAGCCAGAAACCACTGGTGTATGAGAATGGAAGCAAAGCATGGTTTATTCAAGAATAAAAAGTGGAAAAACTTCAAAGAATTACCATTATCAGTTGCCCTTCATCATCAGCGATGGATGTGTTTGCAACAGTGTGGATCAAATGGAAAGACAGAGGTGTACTTGTACACTGGGGATTCAGTTTCATATGGAGTCGAATGGCATGTACAGCAGCTTTCAGACACAGTCAGAAACACTCTTCTTATTCATAATCCAGAATTCGAAGCTCAGCAAGTGTTACAATCAAACCAAATTGAAATAAAAGGAATTACATATCGACCTGGAAGTGTGCTTATTGAAGATTATGCAGAAGGAGACATAGCATTTTTAATTATTAAACATATGTTTATTTTTAACAACAAAAAATACTTGGAGTGTTCTAGACTTGAAATTTTGTTTTATGACAGAAGTGTAAATGCTTTTGCATGCAAAGTAGTTAGTGAGAATGAAACAGTCTGCATATGTACTCAAGACCTAAAGTACAAGTGGCCACAGATTATGCATAGCATAAACGGAACTATATTCATCATGCTTGCAAATGTTGACTTTTGCTGGGATTGAATATGTTCAACCAGGTACATTGTTAAATTCCAGATAATGAAGTTGATGGATTTAGTCTCTTGCATATGGAGGAAAAAGATGTCTTTGCAATGCTGCCAACCAAAGTTGGGCCAGCGAGAAAAATAACAGTTCTTGTCAAAGAAATACAAAGTACATGTAAAACTAAGGAAGACCAAAAATTGTCCACTGATGAAGAAACACCAAGGCAAATCGTTAATCATGAAATACCCTTAGATGAACCAGGAACCTCCAAAACTTCGGTGAGTTTTTTTTTTTCTGAAATTTTATTTGTACCTGTATCATTACAACATGTACTGTAAACATAGTAAAAATTGTCGTATTATTTTGTTTTTGTTTTTAAAATTAACATCGTATATTTTAATGCATTTTATACATTTTCCAGCATTCAAATCTTAAGGCAAAGAGTGATTGTCAGGAACCACAACCAGTGGAGATGTATGTCCCAGCTTATTCACCAGTGATAGTCTCTCTGCTTGATTCTGGAGAAATCATGAAAGAATGGGACAAATTCATTGAGGAAACAGCCTATCATGTACTTTCTGTCGGCAATTTTGAGTCTAGAGGACTATATGCAGACTTCGGACGGCTGATGACTACTAAATACCCATGCATCGGACATAAGTCACTAAAAGAACCCTGGGTTTGTAGTTCATGAAATTACACTTACACATGTGCCTAGAATCACCTTGTTTTTAAATTCCTGTATGATTACATTTGATATAAAAAAGAATTGTTAATTTTCTTTGTAGACCTTTTTCAATCAGAAATTATCACAAAAGGTTAGAAATATTAGGTGGAGGTGGAATGCAAGGAGCAAGGCCCCTCCTGTGACTGATGCTAAAAAGATGAAGAGAGTTCCAGCTACAGTGTTGGATGGTATGAATTTTAATACTTATGTCTAAACAAAAAATATTAAATTTATACTGTTGAACTCTTTTTTTCACATTGTCATCAATATTAAATGGTATGGTTAACATGTATTTTATAGAGGATATGAATGTGGATGAGGCTGAAAAGAAACTGTTGCAAGAATTTAAGAAACCAGTGAAATTGATTGATCGGGCATTGGTGGCAAAAGCTCAACGAGCAACATTTCATGCAAGGAGAACCTTTATAGAAAGGAAACACAACGGGAATTGTGGGGACCTGATCAAAAAGTATCCTTTCTTGGGTATTGTGGAGTTTGTAAGTATTTGTTATTAAAATTAAATGTCATATATGAAAACTACTTTATCAATTGTAACTTTTTCAAGTAAAATGAATGCTGATTTTTTTAGATTGAAAAAGAGTTCAAAATGATGAAACCAGACCTTCAGAACTATGCAGATCGTTGGCTTGATGTTTTGCAGAAACTGGATGATTTATTGGGGCGATCTAGTGATGAGGTAGACATTGTCATGTATTATGATGAAATGTATTTTCTTTCTGCTTCATTCAGAAATTCTTTGATGTTCACTATAAACATGTAATACATATATATTTTTTGAAATGTTTCAACATCATATATCAGATTTAGAAATTGAATCATTTTCTTTACTGAAGGCAGACGACAGGGAAAACGATAGAGAGGTTGACATATTAGACCTTCTTCAAAACCTTGAAGAAAAGATTAAGTGCCAACAAAAGAAGGGGACCAAACAGCCTTTAATTACTGTGTGTAAGGTAAATATATTTATATGTATGCATATATATGTTTGTGAGGGTGTGTGTGTGTGTGTGAAAGACCATATTAAAGATCTTATTCAGCTTACCCCTTGATTATCTAACAATTCTTTTGTATTTAAATAAGACTGTTACCCAAGTTCATGTAATTTAAGATTGAAACATTTTGAAGATTTTAAAATTTATTGAATTGTATTTTATTTTTTCAATAGAAAAACGACATGTCACTGAAAACAAAGAGAGATGATCCACCAAGGTTGATGGTTATTCAAGATGAGAGGAACAACATCATGAACTGTTTCATAATTGGAGGGGGATTAGAGATTTTATGCTCTCCTGATCTTAAGAAAGCTCTAACAGAGCTATTGTTCTGCTATTATGCTTGGGACTTATCGTACCCCAAATATTTTCAAATTCTTGGTTTTGTACAATTTTATATTTTAGGAGACAAAGAGAACAAATTTGCGAAAAGTTTCAATTATCTCAAATTTACAAAGGAATTTGATGACTGAAACACCCTTTCAGTGACTTTGTAACATACCATATGGATCTTCGTACATGTTTGTCAATTTGGCAATATTGGACATTATTCTTTCTAAAAGTACATATACCTACCAGTAGCTCTTTTTTACAGATGAGTTTTATTATTGAAATATACCTGTTTCAAAGAAATTGTGTCCAAAAAATATGAATGTTTTGTACATGTTAGTAAATGGAATGCATGACTATTTGTACCAATTTTTTTTAGCTTAAATTTTCAAATCAAACTTCTCAATAATAAAATATAATATCTCTGAAATTCTTAGTGATTTATATAACCATGATAATGACACTGGACAAATTTATATATCACAAGGATCATATAATATGATCGTTATTTTTATTATATGTTCCTTAATATTGATTGTGTATTTAACATGTTTAAACCCTAAACATGTGTAATTCTCAACATGTTTAAGTCCTAAACATGAGCCTTATGACATGTTTAGAAATTAAACACATTTCAAAACATGTTTAGAATTTAAATGTGTTTAGGATTTAAACATGTTAAAAATCTGTCTACATAAATAGTGTTTAGAAAAGTGTTTAGATCCTAAACACATTTTTTACAGTGTATGCATTTAGTTTGTTTGCTTAATACACAGGAGCAGATAAGAAGATTTTCAAAGAATTTATGCATCTTCACTATATAATCAACTGTCCCCTCCCACAACTCCAGAACCTCTTTCCCAGGGGCCATGAAATTCAACATTTTGGAAGAGGCTCCCCTGCTCATCTTAACCATGCACTTAATATGTCTTTAAAATACACAGAAGCAAAAAAGAAGATTTTTCAAAGAAATTAAGCATTTTCACTGTGCAATCAATAGAGACCCAACCTAACACCAGAACCCTTGATATAGGGGCCATGATATTCACAATTTCGGACAAGACAGCCTTGCTCATCATAACCGTGCATGTGGTATTTTTACCAAATACTCAGGAGCAAAGAAGATATTTAAGAAATAATGCATTTTCACAATATAATCAATAGAGCCCCCCCTTACACCAGAACCCATGACCCAGGGGCCTTGATATTCACAATTTTAGATGAACCTTTGCTCATCATAACTATGCATTTAATTTCTTTGTTTAATATCCTTTTTAAGGATTTTTGTAATTTCACTAAACTATCAATAGAGCTCACCCTAAATCCAGAACCCCTGACCCTGGGCCATGGATTTGACAGTTTTGGTAAAGAGCTCATGAACAATAGTTTGACTGCTTGATGTTCAGGAGTAGATAAAGTTTTGGGAAATTGGATTAATTTTGATGGTTTTGGCCCTGCACATGCCTCTTAGGCCCCCCTCCCCCCCCCCCCCCGGGGGGCAGAGATCATGGAATTCACAATTTTTGCCCCCATTTGCCCAAACGTTTGTTGAAATTGGTTCGGCAGTTCCAGAGAAGAAGCTAAAAATGTTCAAAAGTTTACGACCAACAAACGGATGGAGTACGACGTCAAACGAAAACAGATTGAAATAGGTCAACTGAGTGACTCAGGTGACCTAAAATCATAATTGCACTATATTTACTCTGCGAAAGAACGACACATGAAAATTGCGACAAATAAAGATTTTCAAAACGCCCAGCATTTTTCTTTTAATTACAGGAATAGTCAATATCTAAAATACAACTTAAACTTAATGAAATTAATCAAAAGTTTGTATCTACGAAGTGCAAAGGCGGAGGTAATCACGATTTTAATGAGGACGCAAACTTTTTCACTGACTTCATACCAAGTCAGCTAGTTTGTCTGATTTTAATGAGGACGCAAACTTTTTAACTGACTTTATACCAAGTCAGCTAGTTTGTCTGTTTTTCCCGTTTAATGGTTCTTGTACATGTTATATATTTGTATATATATATTTAAATTTGTGTCCAAAGGAAATTAGCAAACATGCTCACATGGTTAAAAAGAGAGAAAGAAAACTATTTGTACATCGCACATTCGTTCTCGCTATTGTAACTAATTGCCAGTAATTTTAACCATATTGTGATATAGAATGGATACTTTCGATACATCTATTATTTTAGTATGAAATCATTCTTTCATAAATATTTCTTTCATAAATCTTACCGGTAAATCTCTTTTATCTTAAATTTCTTAAATCTTTAATACATAGATAGTGTTTTACCTATCACAACCAAAAACGTGTATTTAAATATAAATTGAATAAACCTACTCTCCATTTTTCTTTATTTGACGGCCATTTTTATCTCTAAATCATGTGACTAAGATAGTTGACGTTCCCAAGAGACAAATATCAACATTATATTATAGGGCGATTAAATTGACATACTATCACATTTTAATGGGTTTATTGTTTGCCACCAGGAAAAAGTATTGTAGAGAATCAGCCTTAGGAGGAAAATCTTGTAGTTTTGAACAACAACCACTATTTCCCAGTTGAAACAAACAGTTGTAATTGTACACAAAGAAATGAACAATTTTGGAATGTATGATTTATGTAAATTTACAGAGAGGAGATGAATATAAGCATAATCAAGAATGTTATGATCTACCTGAAAGTTAATAAGTTGTTGTCCTGGTACGCCTCTCTGTCCACCATTTTCTTCCTCAAGTTTCCTCATATTTTAAGCAGTAGTTAATTCATCTTTTGGAATATGAAGAGGTGGTTTCCTGCACATTTGCGGTAAGGTTTGGGAATTTTCAGTTTTACTCTGGGGACCAAAAGTCGGTCGAAACAGGGCATTTTTCAGTTAAAAAAATGTTCAAGAATTCTTCGTACATTTTAAGCAGGAGTCAGTTTATTTTCGGAAAACGATTGATGGTGTCCTGTAGATGTTCAATAAGGTTGAATAATACTATTTTTACCACCAGGTATCATTTGGGGAAGAAAAATGATGTTTTCAGACAAAATATTCTTCCTCAAATTTTCCTACATTTTAAGTAGGAGTGAAACGGTTCACCGCGGTATCGATGCACCGCGGTATTTTTTCTCGGTTTGATACACGATGCAAAATCTCTAATTTTCGGTTCGGTTCATTTTTCGGTCGGGGTCGTTATTCAGTCGGGTTTGGCATAAGGTAAAACACGTTACTCAGAATAAATAAGTATAGAAAACGTAAATTTTTGATGACTGATAGCTTGTAAAATAATTTTTGACAGTCAAATAATTTTAATCAATTTCTTCTAGTCAATTTGCAAATAAAATTCGTAAAATATGTGACTAGATTTAGAAAAAGAAAGCATAAAACAACGTAGAATTTGTTTCCTTCTATCAAAATGTATCGTATCGAAAATAACCGAATCGAGACAAAATTATACAATACGTATCGAACCGTGAAGGAGGTGTATCGTTTCACCCCTAATTTTAAGAGTAGCCAACTTATCTTCTGGAATATGATAGACGGTGTCCACCACAGGTGTGCAACAAAGTTAAGAATTTTTTATTTTCACTGTAGGGTTCAATATGGGGTAGAGAAACCAAGTTTTCTTAGCATAAACCTTTATTCCCAACTTCTTTTTATCTTTGTTTGCTTTAATAACTTTTGTTTCAGACTATAGATGAATTTATTCTATGAGCTTATAACACAAAATGCCAATTGGTACATGCTCACCTTAGCATTTCATGTTCTATTTGGTATAATGTTCATGTATATTCATGTAAATTATGGATTAACTATTGTTGATTCTTCGGGTTTTTAGAGGTAACCACCTACGTGTTAACTGACTCGGACAGCATTTTCTGAAATATGATTGATTTGCAATAAGGTTTTGAAATTTTTATTTTCACATCGGGGCCAATATTAGGTATTGAGTAAGGTAGTCTTTCCATGTAAACCTGGTTCTAAGATTCATTTTCACATTTACGTAGTAACCTAATCATCGTTTGGAATATGGTTGATATGCAATAGGGTGTCATAATTTTCATATTCACTCTGTGGAGTTCAAAACAATTTTTCTAAATGCAAAAACTGGTTCCCATACTTTCTTTTAAATCATACGCAGTAGCCGATTTTGGATTATGATTGGTGGTGTTCCGTAAATAGGTAATAAAGTTTCAAAACTTGCAGAAAAAGACGTTAATGGTAACCTAACAAATAAGCTTTATGATAAACGCGAAGACTTCAACTTTTCAGTCATCAACCTCTCTTACTTATGCAGCAATATATCATTATCACCTGCATACAGGGTTTATATCTCTATGTTGATTCAATAGTCAAGAATATGCTCTACGTATGAACAATTTCTGAAACGAGGCAAGCTATTGACAAACAAGTTGATGAAACAAGAATATCAACATTCTTATTTAAAGTCATAATTTTGCAAGTTCTGTGGTCGATACAATGACCTTGTCAGCAAATACCATCTATCATTAAGTCGAATGTTAACTGGTGTTTTTCATACTAATTGGTAGGCCATATTTACACTTTGAATTGTCTGGGGATTTTTTTTTTTTACTTTTTTCCCATTCATGACAAGGAACATATGGCGGATGTGACTGGTCGGCATTAGATGCCTACTCCTCCATGGCACCTGATCCCATCCCTGATGTTTTTAGAGGTACGTGCTTGCTCTGCTCCTGATTCATATTTTTTCTATCGACTTTTGAGCTTTATTACTGTTCGTTATCCCCATATTTGATTTTAGATACCAAATTGTAATGTAATACATTGCTTTGTTTAAAAGAAATCAATTTCCAAAGACAGGTAAACCTCATTGAAAAAACCAAAAAAAAAAATAAATAAATAAAAAAATAAAAAAAAAAAGAAAAAAAAAAAAGAAAAAAAAAGATGACGTCGAAGTACGTCACCTAGGAGCGAAAAGCCATAAAATGTTGTTTTGCACTCGATCAGGGAACCTCTAGAAAAACTCTGCAAATGAAGGAGGAACCAGGAAATATATTAAAAACGATCCATTTATTTGTATATAACGGCAAAAGACCATTTTTGAGTGGTAGAAACTATGAATCGCACGATGGACAGCCTGCAAAGAAATAGGTTATACCGGTAAGTTAAAAATCTTTCCAAAAGAGTTATCATCATTGAAAATGATGTGCGCTTAACTGTTGAAGAACTTATGAAATCAGAGTTGCATGTACGCGGCAAAGAATATGAAAACACTGACAAATTAACGTAGGATACTAGAACAATCGTTAGCAAATTAG